TATATATCTGTTTTCTATAGCTGAATTATAATGTACACCTTGGAACTTAAAGTTAAATATATATGTTTAATATTTCACAAAAGAAGATTCTAACACAGGAATAAAAAAAAGAGGATTAAAGCTCGTTTTTTTTTTCTTGAAGAAAGTTTTAAACTATACACTGATTGTAAAAAATTTCAACTTATTGCATATTTATTTTACTTCAACTGTTGATTTTTCCCATCTGCTGGAAAACTGGAGATTGCTCTTGAAAATGAGTCTTCAGTCGAAATCTGAAAACTGGACAATCATGATTATAATCTATGTTTTATGTCATTGTACTGAACTGTGCTAATTTCTATCTTATATATATTTTTATTTAAGTACTATAAAGTCATATTTTAATAATCATAAAACTTGATTATTTCTTTCTATATATTCTTTCTGTTATGTTCAATTTAGAATAATTTACATTTTTTACATGCTTGTATTGTCTATATGAAAAATATTTGTATAAACTTAATGTAATAATATACAAAAATTTCAAACAAAGTAACTTTGAAATATACAGCATAAGACTTAACGTGAAATAGCTGTAGGTCTGTTTTTTTTTTAACTAAACTTATATAGTTCAACTTACTTCTTTTTTTATGTTAAAATAAAAAATATGGAATTATAAATTATAATAAATTTAAAATTCAGCAAAAGCAAGAAGAAAAGCTCTAGTGCAATTTAACAAATAAAAAACAAAATTAAAATCTCAAAATTCATGTTCTGTTTTTATTGAACATCTAATAATTGCATATATAAGTCATATTTATTTAACGTTTAAGTTTCTATATATTGTTTAATATCAAATTTTAGAATATGAAGTGGGCAGATAAGCGTTATTTTCTAAGTTACATAGCACCAGAGATATACAATGAAGATGGATCAGAAATTATGGGTGCTAAGGATTATTGGATGGAAATTGTGAGTTACATAATTGAAGATTTAAACTGGTTACTGGCTCTTCCATTTTATCGGTATAATAATTAGGTCTTAGTAATTTCAGTACTCGATCTATTCTTTTTAATTGAATTTTTTGCATTATTTTCACACATTCATCATTTCTCTTTTTCTTTTCATATTAGAGAGAAAAAGGGAAGATGAATGATACAAAAAGTTCAACTAAAAAGAATAAATCTACAGTTAACATGTTCCAATTATTACAAATAGGTTTCTTTATTTAGATTCTGGTCCAATATTATATACAATACATCGATTATGGATACATTAGTTTCTTTTTTACAAGAAGCCCCACCTTTCTATACCTTAGAAAGTTTTCCTGCTGATCCAAAAATGCGCGAAGCATTAGAGAATCTTCGTCGTAACGTACTTATCGTCTTCGCGCGACTCTGCACGAATAAACAGAGTTCAGCAGAATATATGAACCGTCCATTTCTTGGAAAACTATTGTATAACTATTACATATTCACGATACCAATTATATTTGATCTATGCCAACTGTATGGTAGAGAAAGTACCAAAGTAGTAGAGAAAATTGTAGATAGCGTATTTAATCTACAACCGATGTACAATGATGACCTTCAGAAATCTATACCATGCCTTATAAAGGTGATGTATACTGTTTAATCGTGATAAAAGAAAAACATTGATTTTTTTATATCTTACATTTCAATTATTGGTTCTTTATTTATTTTAGTCACAAATATGAATTGATATAATTAATTCTTCTCTAAGTTAAATTTTTTTAAAAATATAATCAACAATTATTGTTGATCAAAAGTAGAAACTTATTAAAAAAAATTGAATTTATAATTTTTGTTTCAATTGAATTAATCAGTCAATTATCTTTACTATCATAGGCTCTCGAAAATGTTGAACGAAGATTTGAAAATTGTCCAAGTAATGCTACTGAAGCAGTGGCGCTTTCAGAAAGAGGAGACTCTATTGAGATGACATTGTATAATTTAGAGGATTTAATACTCTATGTTCTAGATATATCATCAACTCTTACTATATTGTTAAGAGTCTATTCTCCAGTAACTGCCATATTTCATAAAGATGACTTCATAAACAAGTGAATAAAAGACTTTATTTTATTACTAATATCTCATTTAATTAATATATTATTTTTGGCAATATATTTACGTTTTTATTAAACTAGTTTTTTAATATTCGACAATTTTTATTAAATTGAAATTCTCTTATTTGTGAACGTATACACTTTGCTCAAATGTACAATATATTTTTATTTTGGTGCCACTATATTGTTTCTGTTTGCTAGGATAGTTTCAATATATGGGAGTACTATACCTGAAATGTATAAAAAATTAGACAAATTAGCATATAGCGAGGAAAATATGCCAAAGTACATTGAATTGAAGCATCGTCTTGATGTAACCAGAGTTGAAATGTTAAATCTTTATCGAATTATTATCTATGAATCCATATTACAAATTCAAGAAAAAATGTAAGTATGCGAAAAAATCATTTTATGATAAAAATAATTATATGGATATCCTAATGAAAATATTTGATTTTTACTTACTTCTAATGTTACAGAAACACAATAACTGAAAATGAGATAAGAAATTGCGTAGATAAATATTTGGATTCACTAATAAGTGCTATCTCTGAAAAAGAATTCATTATAGATTATCATCAGTTTTACCCAGTTGATGCCGATCTTCAAATTATAACTAAACTTTATCCTGAAATGTATCCTTTTTTAAAGAGTTTACAATATTATATTATTATACATAAACATAATACAGTTTTAAATCTTAGTTTTCTTTACATATCTAATAATCAGTGATACGATAAAAAGCAAATATATATTACAGTCATTGCATGCATCGATTGGAGATACCAAGATGTTAGCTAATGCATCACTCAATAATACAAATGTAAGTAATAATATTGCAAATATACATATGTATAGATTTATATATATGTATAGATTTATTATTATTAAAGATTTATTTTTATTAAAAAATTTTATAGATAGCTGTTGCTGGATCTAGCGGTATTCAAAGCAATCAACGAAAAGAACATTCCAATGATGTAAATTGCATGAACAATAAGATAGATTCTGGTTCAAAATATCCCGACAACTTAATGTCTCTTATTTCGGAGGTAAAAGAAATTTTGTGCGATTATGGTGAAGGTTTTATACAGGTAAGACTTGTTATATATTTAATTTATTCAATTAATTATTAATTTGTAATTAAATAGAAATAACGGATGAGAAGTAACGCATCGATTACTAGTACTAAATTTAAATAGAAAATATTGAGTAGTGTTTTTATAAATTTGTGCAATCTAAAACTTTCAGCTATGTTTAGAGAATTATAACTATAATATTGAATCTGTGGTAAATGCAGTTCTGGAGAACAAGTTACCACATAATTTGAAAGAATTAGATAGGACAATACCATATATACCACCTGATCCAATGGTAAGTAATAAAATAATCTCTTTGCTATAATAAGTTAAAATAGCGAGAATTAATCTATATTATATTATATATGCTTTTAGGAAACATCGATTGCTATGGACCTGACTACTGCAAATCTGATTAACGATTTTCAAGAGTTGAATGTTTCCTACAACGATAAAATTGAAGTCACGACAGAGAAATTTACAGATGTGTCAGATGTAAAGAAAAAGTAAGTTATTGCAGTGATAAAATTTGCACACATTGACATTGATTA